ATGATGGTGGCGACAATGATGCTCGTTGGCCGTGGCAGTTGAGAAGAAAGCTTTGTTTTCGACAAGGTAATCCGGGTACCTCCTAAATCGGATCCTGATACTGCCACGTCAAAAGTAAGACTACCTAGGCAGGCAAACACGTATTGTGGCCAAATTCCTCACCGCCTATTGATGCTGCCTGCGTACCGACGTGCAGTGCCGAATTTCGTTGCCTGAAAAGGCAGACACCAACGAGTGATGCCCAGCATTGTTCGGCATCTTCCGAGGTTACTCCTTTGCGCTAAAATCCGTTGCGACAATGATCGCGGAATGATTGCGGATTCGTTCTTTGATCGCCGATGTTCCGGTGCGGGTCGGCTGTCGGCCGGCGGGACGGTCCGCGCGGCAAGCATCGGCCGGTAATTTACCACTAATCTGCTGTAACGGCCGGTATTCCAGCTACCATCGTCGCCAAAGTTGATATTTACCCGCAAAAACCATCGCTAAAGTACCAACCTCTCTGTCACCAAGAGCTAATTAATTCCCCGTACCCCACTCCTCACCTCTTTCCGACTTTCATCGTCTTCTTTGACCACAATCAACTCCTTTCTATTGCAATTGGGACTAAGAGCGGGCGACACAATTAGAAATGGATACCAGCGTCATGTCATTCGATCTCGATCCCAAAGATGATCCAGAAGGTTTCGTCATGGTCGACAGGCCGGATCAAACCCACCACCAGCCCCCCACAGCAGTCGAGAGCAGGAAAAGCAGACGGTGTGAACCACCGCCAAAACTCCCACCACCAGTATATCTCACCGAAATCAGCACCTACATCGACAACCTAACCACCTCTTTATGGCCCATCAACAAAACTATCCACGACAACCCCGAGCTCGGCTTCGACGAGGTGATCGCCCACGAGACCCTCACCGCGTTCATGGAGACCCAGCCGGGGTGGACCGTGACCCGCTCCGCCTACGGGATGACCACAGCCTTTGTCGCTATCTACGGCTCAGGAAGTCCAGTAGTATCCTTCAACGCAGAAATGGACGCCCTCCCAGGAATCGGCCACGCGTGCGGACATAATCTCATCGCAACCGCATCAGTAGCAGCCGCCCTCGCCACAGCTTACATCCTGTCCAAACACCAACTCCCGGCAAAAGTAGTCCTCTTCGGCACCCCAGCCGAAGAAGGCGGCGGCGGCAAGATCAAACTCCTAAACGCCGGCGCGTACACGCGTGACCACAAGATCGACATCTCCCTGATTGCGCATCCAGGGAGTGTTCCAGACGCGGCGATGGTCACCACCACAGCATACGTCCGTTTCCGCGTTGAGTATTTCGGTCGCGAAGCACATGCTGCAGCGGAGCCCTGGAAAGGCATAAATGCCCTCGACGCGCTGATTACCGCTTACAACGGACTGTCCGTCCTCAGACAGCAGACCATGGCCGGCGACGTGATACAAGGCCATATTACGGATGGCGGCGCCGCGCCGAATATCATCCACGCCTACGCGGCCGGTGTCTTTGTCGTCCGTTCGCACAGTCAAAAGCGGCTGGATGAGCTGCTGGAAAAAGTGGAGGCCTGTTTCCGCGCTGGTGCGCTCGCGACCGGTGCGACGCTTAGAATGACGAGGTTGGGCGCGTACAGGAATCATGTTCCTAATCGGACGATCGCGGAGAGGTATGCGAGGTATTTTAATGAACTGGATCCGCCGACGAGGATCCGAGAGGACCAGAACGAGGAGAGTTTTGCTAGTTCGGATCAGGGGGATGTTAGTTTTGCGGTGCCGAGTTTGATGCCAGGTTTCGCGATTCCCACGAGGGATGGTGCAGGGCCGCATACGCCGGGGTTTGCGGAGGCGAGCGGGACGAGGGAGGCTTTTGGGAGGTGTTTGAGGGTTGCTAAGGGGTTGGCTGGGGCGGCGGTGGATGTGGTGGCTGTTGATGGGGTGTTGGAACGGGTGAAAGAGGATTGGAGGAGGGGGATGAGGGATAAGGAGGAATATAATGGTCTTGGTGAGGATGTTGCGGTATGAATTGGTTAAGAGAGAAGCAGGACCTGGCTGACATAAAAATGGTATAATATTATCACGAATCTATGGCACTCGGCACGTCATGGTTCTCCCGTCCATTCTCCTAGATACTCAATCGACATCGGGCAACGGTTTATTTGTAAGTAACAACCATCGAACCCGGGAGCTCCGGGAGCCACCCTTCCACCTGCTCCTTAACGGTCTGCTTCTTGACACAAGCCAACGCCGCCTCGACGGACTGCGTCTTCAGAGCAGTGCACCTGTCGCCGCTGCAGCGGGCGTCGAGCGCCTTTTGCAGCGAGTCGCCCTTCCAGCCAAAGACATAGTCTCCGTGCTGTCCGAAACCGGTTCTGTCGGGTTGAATAACGATTAGTATGTGCTCAGTACCATACCGTTAGAGACTCAAGACTTACCCATCACCCATGGAGTAGACCAGCGGTTGCCCAGTCTCGGGCCAGTCCGCCGGGTCGTTGAACTCCCGCGTATCCCACATAACCTCGTACATGAGCTGAGGAAGGCGGACGGGGTGGCTGGCAGGGCATGGGCCGGTGGACTCGAAGCTGCCGCTGCTTGGATAGGCGACGTGGCTCCTGTGGTCGGGGCTATCGACGTTCTTTCCGTCCCAGCATCTATCATCGATAACGTCAGTAAAGCCCATGTCAATCCTAAGTGATGTATTGAACTCACGTAGGGAATGTGACGGTCGTGCGAATACCGCCCGGGCACGGCTTGCTCGGGAAGGACGCGGTATCGTCGCCAGTGCAGGGCGCGCCGCCGAATGGGCTCTGTTCGATGTTGTGCTCGCACCGATAGCAGATCTGCTTCTGCATACCCTTGGGGCTGCGCAGGTTGAGATCGCCAGCGAGCATGCGGAAGCCGGGCTTGAAGGCGGTAACCTTGGTCTTGCCGTCGTACGGCGGGATGTAGTATACGGTAATACCGCCGCTGCCTTTTAGGCCGAGGTTGACCATCTGTGGCACGCGCTTGAATGTCCCGTTCTTTGCCTTGAAGTAGATGGACGCGGTCCAGTAGTTGGAAAAGTCTTCGCTGAACGAGCAGGTCGTGCAGCTTGACTTTTCTGAGGGGTCGTACTCGACGGGCGTCATAGACGCGTTGAACGAGTTGCCGCCGACGATCTGGTGCACGTGGCCGACCTGCAGCATGCCGGGGTTGACGAGGGGATCCATGCGCTCTACCACGAGCTGCGAGCACTGGAAGCGCATCATGGCTGCCTGGGCGAACTGGGCAGCGGCATCTTTGGCGAAGACGGCGGCCGTGAGGGCCGCGATGGAAGCCTTCATGTTGGGCGGGCTAACTGGATGCTGTTGACCGAGAATTGGACGACGAAGACCAGAATATGTTACTACTTTGAGTGAATGTGAATGGCGACGGCAAGGAGAAAAGAGAAAGGCAGGACGCGGAAAGACGAGGCTCTTGCTAGCTATAATACTTCGAAGACCATCAATACTTCCAGAAAACACTACCCATGCATGGTCTTGGACTAGCCCGGAGTCCGGGATGGCACTATGCTGCCGTGTGATACCTCATCGTTGTATCAAAGCCGCAACCAGGCTGCTCCGTATTCCATAGATGGAACTCATCAACCGGTTATCCGAGCCAACTGGACGTTGTGGACTTGATAGTGCCTGTCGAACTCATAGTCAAGGTTCAAAGTTACTCCCATGGTGAACTGCCGGTATATTGACTATCGTGGTGGTTAAATCTGGGGTAAAGTCGCGACCACGATGTGATTGGACGAAAGCAAGCGTGCCGCTGGACGAGATCTGGCCTGGAGGTAGACGTCTAATATACCCTAATGAATTCCTCGTCAACCCCACCCAGTTTGGAGATATCAATCGTTATACTCGGAGAATTGAGGATATCCAGCGCAAGAGGAGCCCAATATGGTGAAGTGACCGGCGCCTTAAGGGAAGCAATGGAAGGGCCAGGTACGTGGTGACAATGTTCACGTGTTTGCCACGAGATAGGGGTTTGATGGTTGCGCCTGCTGCAGGTCAAGGAATTCATCTAACCTGGTTTTTTTCTCTCATAGTTACAATACATTGCAGGATTCCAGGATGTCGCTGCACTTAATCCACTTGATTGGTGATGGTTGAATCTGTGTGGGAACTACTGTTACCTTCCACAATCGGTGGGCCGGTGGCTAATGACAATATGGGCGGAATTGGTGCCTTATACGCGCTGATGTCAGCCATGAATGATCGGAGACATCTTGGTATTATTAGCAGTAAAAATTTTACAAGCCGGTGATAACAAGCTCATTCTCCCTGTGTCCGAGACCCGCCTGGGTTATCACGAGTTATGGATTGGGCACCTGCAACAGGTCTATCCGAGTCCCATTGCCGAACTTCCATGGCCTTCCAACTCCACGATGCGCGCACGGGAATCCGTAATTGATGCCCAGCAGCAGCTTTATCTTTGTGGATGGCTGGCCTAATGCAGCTGGCAACAAAATCTCAGAGGACTAATTAAGGGTTTGCCACCCAGATGCAAGAATAAATAAAACAGTTCGACGGGAAGATCCAGACAAGGAAGGAAATATCAGTGCGGGAGCGGGATGCAAACTCGAGTTATATGTTTATTATGGAACCCTTCGAGAACAACACATGGAACGACACACCGGCGCGGGAAGGCTTGACATTATCCAAATTGCACCATGTGCGGGATATTCCCATATGTAAAAGGGGGGGAAGTTGGAGAACAATCTAATTGCCAATATCGTTTCACTTACACCTTTCGTAGTTTTTAACTTTAGTTATCCTTTATCTAAGTAATTACCTGCTGTTTCTGTTGGCTGTTAAAAGGGAGTGCTACAATAAGAAAATGTTTGACGGCCCGATCTCGGTTGACCTGGAAACTGCCAGCTGTAAGCTGGCTTGCCGGATATTGATGTTACTTAAGGGACAATTCCTGACCCTCCATCAACAACCAATGAGCTACGGCAGGTGTCCACACCTGCAAATCTTCCGTAGTATAGTGGTCAGTATGTGAGCTTGTCACCGCCCCTGCGTCCGATTCGCTCGAGACCCGGGTTCAATTCCCGGCGGGAGAGAAACATTCTTTTTTTGGGGTATTCTCTCAGCCAACAAAAGATGATGACTGATCTGTACCTCGTCTGCCCATCTTTTTTCTTACTGCAAGGGAGAAATCGATAAGAGATAACACAATCAGAGCGTGTTGCACATCACTGCAAATGCTGACCACCCCTTCAGACCTGTGCACAATGCACGAATTGGTCCGTTGGCGCCAAGAGTTATTGAACCCTTGCATGATGGAGCGCCGTGGCTTTTCTGTCAGAGCCTCACTTCCTCTGGATCGGGAAACACAGAGATTGCAGTCAGACACGCACACACGAGGGAGATGGTTTTTTTTATTAGAGTCTGGAATTCCGCGGCTTTCGCTTAGGTGATAATTCCACACTTATGAGTCGACTTCGAACGATAAAAGGGAGCCTGCAGGCATCCGTTGGGCGACGCATGCACAGCGCTCGTGTCGACAAGTGATACGACAATAAACGCACATGCTCACGCAATTTAGAAACGCTCTTATCGCAATCGATTGATACGACGTCAGAGCTGACTTGGAATCACGAATCACGTCATCCCACTGTAGCGAACTGGTCAAGCTCACTGTTACGGTGAGGTGAGTCGTGCGACAGGTCAAGCTTTTTGGACCCTTGAAAGATAAGATACGCCACGCTTCGTCTCTCGCAGCGATATCCGTATTTGGAACATTTTTGCTTTCCGCCTTTGCGGCTCTGTTGCAGCAGAACTGAACGAGATTGGTGGCCGACTGTGCCATAGACCCGCCAGGGCTGAGCCAGATCGATAGTGGCCCCGGCGTCTGCAGCTGCTGCAGCCACCGGTCGTTGCTGGCGGTTTGACTGGTCCCAAGCTGCGCCAAAAGGGCAGTCCGGTTGCACTAACGGAATGCACATACCACAAAGCTGAGCAGAGTGGGCAGAGAGAGGCTGTGCCACGTTGGGATGCCTAAGATGGGACTCATCTGGAACGTGGAGAGCAGGCACAGCAATGGAAATTCGGGCTTCGGGCAGCAATAACACCGGCAGGGACGGTCATGAAAAGCTCGTATATGATGACTGTAGCCACCCAGCCCATATTTCCGGAGGAAAAGAAAAAAGGGCTTCCACGACTGCCGCTCGACATCTTGACTGTCACTTACCACCAACCCGGTTCAACCGTACATTCGTTTATATTATTCCGGTTAAAAATGGCAGAATTAACACCCGAATTCGCCATCACCATCAGTCCCACCAAACAAAACCCAGATACCTGGGACGATGCTTCCACGCTCGCCTCCAGGTCCAGCTGGACCAGCAGAGGCAGCGAGGAGACCCTCGCCAGCTTGCAGTGGAAGTCCCGGCCCAGACAGAGCGACTGCCGAGAGCTGCTCAAGTCAAACCGGTCCATGGTCAAACCGACCCCGTCGATCCAGTTCCACGGCACGAGATGCACGTGCAGCGCCGCTGCTGATGATGAGATCCTCGACATGAAGCACCGGTCTGCAGACGACATCCTCGCCGACAAGATCAGCGCCGCCGCCGACCTCCACCGGATCCAGAGGAAAGCAAAGAAAAATGGCATTAAGCTTGCAAGACGTTCAAGTTCAGCACTTTCACTTTCACTTTCACATCGACAACAGTCACAGAGGCGGTTATCGTCCACGGGCAGCAGCATAATACAGAATGCCGTCACACGGTTATTCTCATCGGCCACCAGCAACACACCCGCGCCAGCAGCGAGCAGCCACAAAGTCGCCGACCTCTGCTTCGGCTGCTCGGCACTCGACATCGCCAAAGTCACTCGCTACCTGTTCGACGAAAACATCCCCATCAACGCCCAGAACCACGTCGGCACCACCCCATTAATGGCCGCGCTGCGCGCCATGAACCCACAAGACAGACCGCGCGCCCATCTCGCCATGATTTCGTTTCTTCTCGACTGCGGTGCCGACCCTAACGCATCAAACGGCGTGCACTCGACCCCAGGCGGCGCGGGCACCATGAACGCCCTGGCCGCAGCATCCTCGCTCAACCTCCCTTCCGCCCTACGATTGCTCCTCGCCCACGGCGCAGCCGTCGACGCACCGCTCAACACGATCCCGATGTTCAAGTTCGGCGGCCACGGCCTGACAGCCCTGCACGTGGCCGCCTTCGCCGACAAGCCCGCCTGTCTCGAGATTCTACTCAAGCATGGGGGCGCCGACACCGCCGCGACCTTCGACGCCTGCCGCGCGATCGACGACCCGCTCAAACCGGTTTCCTCGAAAAAGCAGAAGCGCGAAAGCAAGCTCTGGACGACGGGGATCACGGCCCTGCATCTCGCCGTCGACGCAAGCAGCCCCGGCTGCACGGAACTGTTGCTCCGGTACGGCGCGGACCCGATGGCGAGGGACAGCTACGGCCGCACGCCGCTGCACTGGGCCATGGAGGCGGGTAACGCCACCGTGGTGAGGCAGTTGCTTGCCGCGAAGGGGGTGGATGCCGATGTCAAGGACCGGGACGGGGAGACGCCGCTCGCGAAGCTGGTTGCGCGGCTCGAGTGCGGCGCGCCGAGGCAGGGACATCCGGATATTGCGCGGATGCTCTTGGCTCATGGGGCGGATCCGGATTTGAGGTATCCGCAGGATTTGAGTGTGAGGGAGAGGTTATTGAAGCTGGATCGGTGGAGGGGGTTGTATGAGCCTATTTTTGATGAGAGCGGGAAAGGGGAGGAGATGTATGAGAAGAAGGTGCTTTAACCACCTCATCTTGCGCGCTAATTATAATGTTTTTTTTCCCCTTCCTATTTAGTTTATTAGATCTAACGAGTAATGACGGACGGGTGGCGGTTGGGGTTGTCTTTCTTTTGTTGTTGCTGTTGATTGGTTGATACCAGACTGACTTTGTCACTCGAAGATGGACGGATTGGCGTTTGTTGGAGGAGGGATGGCTGGCGCTGGCAGTGGTATAGCATAGAATTCCGCATCACTTAATTACACTCCTTTCATACCTCTGCCGGGATTTACCTTATGTAAGTACCTTCCCAGGCTCTGTCTGGACAAGAAGAGATTGTTGTGCCGAGCATAAAACCCGGGAACCAACTCTACTTATAGGCATACTCCGTATTTTCAGCTCCCCGCTGAGGCTCTCTAAGATCAGAATTTTGCAACAGAGGCTTGTGAATATCGGTCGGTGAATGTAGCAGACACAACGGAATTTTTTTTCCTTAATGGGCAGGCCCTCAATTGTAAAGTATTTGGACGAAGGTTTTAAGACCCGGCAGAGGTGTACGACTGCCTCTATCTATAGTCAGGGTTATTAAGGGAACGCTGACTCCTTGCTTGAGTACGGATTACAAGGCTGTTGCTTGCAACTGATGGTATCGTCAAGTGAGATGCTAGCCCCTTTTCGATTGCGTGGGAGCCTTGTCAGGACGCTAACATATTCTGGCTAGTTATACGATATTACGTGTTAGTGCCCCCTCTCCTCTTCGAGCAAGCCGGGTTCGAACAAGGGTCCATTCAGGGGTCGAAGAGACATGGCACACGCGATCAACTCGAACTCGAACCCATCTCCCCCTACGTCAACGCCAGAGATCTAGTCGTGTCCTGTAGGCTGAGTAACACGGCGACGTGCGGTCACTTTCGTTGGTCATATACTCTTCTACTTGGAAGGGGCAAGTCAGCGATGAACAGATTAAAAATCAACAAACCGCTCTCAATATCTCTGTTTTTGGAGAGATCTAAGCTCGGGATTCATTGATGGTCGTTTTAAAGCAGTGTTATCAACATGTTGAGGCTGATGTGACACAAGCCCGAGTCAGATTTGGTCTGGTCCTCGCAGTATCAGTATTGCGGCCACTTGACCCCAGTGCCAGTCACACATCAGTGGATAGTTTCACAGTCTTGCAATTAATGGGTCTACATGGGATTTGATTCCCAGTGGATAATGGCCATGTACTTGAGTATCCCATGCGAAAGGAATAGCCAGGGATTATGTCTGGGAATGGGTCATTTCATCTGGCGCGACATACTCGTCCGGCGGAGAACGGCAATTGTACAATACCGTTATGTCGACCAGAGCCGATTGGGTTACGCTTTTACACATCTGCCGAGGGTTATATCTAGTCTGATCGTATTGCCGCGAAAGGTATGAGATCTCTGCGAGGCAAGGATGAACACGGTGTTGCTCACTGGCAAATGCCAGCTATTCGGTGACCAACCATGAACAGCCAGACCAGCAATGCAGCTCCGTGAGGGAGATGATCCAGCAGATCGATCAATATTATATATTGATAGCTAAGGTTCCCTCATGTTCTCCTTCTTGCATTCTACACACCCAAACACAACAGTCTCACACAAGCAGACAACCCACATGTTTTGTCTTCTGTTGCAAACACAAAACAACTCTTCATTCTTAGAACGAAGTCTGCCAGACATCTCAACCCCCACAAACTCCACCAAGATGTCCACCAAGCTCAACAGCCTCATGGACACGCTCAGGCAGTACAAGCCCGAGGCGATGAACTTTGATGAGAAGGGGCGCTACGGCATTAGCATCACGATACCGGAAGGCAATGTTACCTTCCAGACCCTCAAGGGCTGGATCATGCGAAACTCCAAGTTCTCAGAGTCGGAATATGCCTCCGTTAAAGGGGGCACGAGCGCACGTCTATTTCGCATTTCCGGAAATTTCAGCTGTCTCTTCAACTCCTCTTGCTACACCTACCAAAACAATATTCATATGACTGCCTACCTTACCCAACAACCTGCGTTACGTTACCTGCTTGCCACACCCCGTGCATATCTTGCAATACTTCATCAACTCCTGATGCTGAAACATAACATTGACAACCGGTAGAAATTGCCCTTATTCCACGAGATTCGCCTCCACGGCATCTGGATGTCAAAACAGGAAGAGGCACAATATGCGACATATTCGAGCCCAAGCATTGAGGATGATCGGGAGGTTTTGCCTCGGGCAGTGACTCGCTACCGGTCCGATTCCAATACACAATCGTCAGAGGAGATACTCTTTTTCTAGATCTCGCT